ATATTTTCTATAACCCCATATTTCTGATCCATAAAGTAAAATTAGCATTATCTTTGTATCAAAAATTTGAAAGTATAAATTACAGGATAGATTATCATATTTTAACAAACTTTGTAGGATTGACATCAACACTTTCTTAGCTTTAACCGATGTAGATTCTAGATATTTATTCCAACTCAAAGTCCTAGTAAACAATATTCTAAGGTAAGTATAAGATGAAACTACCTCTATATGTGCATCTTTGTATATCCATTTCTCTAATTTTGATAATTTCCCACCGCTTTTAAAAACAAGAACTTTAGTTTTATTTAGATTGACGGACAGTGATGACCAATTACCGAATCAGAAAAAAGGACAACATTGTCAGCAAAAAGTAAAAGGAATATTTCTATTAGATTTGGATGCCATTTTTAGATTTTGAGTTAATTTCAAGAACCAGTTCATTTATAAAGAAAGAGAACAAGATTGGGCTTAAAACACAACCCTGACGTACTCCCAAAGGGCAATCAAACATACTTGTAAGGTTATTGCCATTGGTTCGTACACAAGCTTTAACTGATTCATAAATGGCTTTTAATGATTTTTCCATCTTTGATGCCCACCCATGTTTACCAAATAAGTGCCAGAGTTTTTTTCTTTGAACGGAATCAAATGCCTTAGCGAAATCAACAAAACATGCACATAATTTACCTCTCATTTTTGAGAGATATTTTGTAATTAAAACTTGTAAAATGAAAACATTGTCCATTGTGGAATATCCAGCTCTAAATCCTGCCTGTTCTTCATAAATGTTTCCCATTGCATCTGACCAAAACGTTAATCTGCCATTAAGAATCATGGTATATAATTTTCCCAAACAACTCAGTACAGATATTCCCCGATAGTTATTAACATTATTTTTATCACCCTTTTTATGCAATGGAACAATGATTGCTTTTGACCATTCTGAAGGAAAAACACCTTTATCATATATAGAATTGAACAATACAAGTAAATATGGAACAAGGATATTATCTGAGCATTGAAACATTTCACTAATTACAAAATCTGTTCCAGCTGCTTTATTACATTTCAACTTCCGAATATTCTCTTGTATTTCCTCACTGCTGATAGGGGCATTAAATATATCATCAGTGACAGACTTAACCCAATTACTACCAGTATATTCATTCGATAGTATACTTTCCGTATTCAAGGTGGGTGTATCTTCTTCATGAAAAGTAGATATGTCTGGCTCTGCAATACTGAACAGGTCTTTAAAATACTCGTACCAAGTCTCTGTGTTTATATTATTTTTATCCTTACTTGTACCTGATAAAGCTTGAACTTTGTGCCAAAATGTTTTGGAATCCTTCATTGAATCTATCAATTCAGATCGACGTTTAATCTCGAAAGAACTTTTAGCATTCCTACATACAGCTTTATACTTATTTCTTGCAGCAAGATAGTGCTGAAGAGACACTTTGTCTTTATATTTACGAAATACATTGAGATAATGACATCTCTGTTTTTTAAAACATTCACATTTAGCATTATACTAATCTTTAAAACCTGAAAATGGTCGTACACAATTGATCGCAATAAGATATCTCTGTTAAATTTAATCCCGTAATCAATGTCTGTTAAGGCTATGTGTACCGCATTCTCCAATTCTTCATTGAGAGATGCTAACATTTCAATGAATATATACCTCTTATCCTCACTCCATGAATACTTAGTACCACTGATGATTTGGTCATCTGAACGTACCTTTGTTGTAGTCTCTGATAAATCAATATTTGTAGATAGATTAAATGCTATAGGGAGATGTTCTGATTCACTTCTTGAAATAATTTTTAAAGACAGAACTTTCTCAAATAACCAGCATGATCCAATGACATAATCAATTACACTGCATCCATTATGTCCAACAAATGTATAATCACCTTCTTCTTTGTCAGTATCACATCGACCATTTAGAATGTGCAAATTCAATAATTGACACATCAATTACAGATTTTCCAAATTTGTTAGTTTGCAGGTTTAGAGGAGAACCTAGGTCTGTAGAAACCATCTGATACTAGTTCCTTTATTAAATCATCATCATCTGTTAAATGTCTGAAAATATCATCAGTATAATCATCAAGTCGTCCAGTTCTAGCATTTAAGTCGCCACAAAGTATGGTTTCAACAGGTGACAAGTTAGCTGTAAAATCAATATAAGAGTCTAAGAGGAGGTTAATTCCATTTTTCGAATGCTTATCGTCATACCATCTTGATCCTTCTGGCTGAACATATGCATAGATACACAATATATGTTTTTCACATGAAAACAAATTATTGTCAAAGGGCGTAAAAATAGCATTTTCAAAGTACCGGACACATTTGATATATTTTGAAATGTTATCTCTTATAAACACTATTATACCTCCCGAGGCACGTCCAAACTGTGACAGCTTAATACCGGGTAAATGAAAGCATTTATATCCTGGAAGGCAAAAATCAGTATTATCTTTTTCATGTGACCAAGTTTCTGATAAGTGGATGATGTCGAAATCGCTGATGAAGTTAATAGACTCCTCATCTTTCATTTTATTGTGCAGACCTGAAATATTCCATGTCAAAGTCGACACATTGTTGACAGGTTTAATGTCCATCGATGGTGACATAAGTCGGGCCCGGCCGTATCCCTATGGATTAGCAGATCTCTGTCGTGTTGTTGTGAAGAGTTGTGTTCCATCATTGGCAAACGAGGATTCTTGTTTAGGGGGCATATCCACAACTACAAGTTTCCCATTTTTGTAGAAACCCCTCTTCCTATCTTCAGCTAGAGATTTCAGTTTATTTCGCTGTGATGCAGTAAGGTCGTTTGATATTCCCATTTGTTTAGCTTTTGATTGTTCTCTCTTTTTTATAGCCCAAATCTTTACCTCAGTTTCCCAGAACGCACATATGATAGGTCTCCATTTCTTTGCTGTAGCTCTTCGAAGCCTATGTGATCGGCGAATATCGCTAGGTTGATTAGCACTGTCGCCTTCCTCACATACAGAGTTCAACACTTTTAATACTTTGTTTCTGCATGATCCGAACAATTCATCGCCATCCTCGGGCACACTTTGCAAGATGACATTATCGCGCCGACTAAAAATTTCTTGTCTCTCAACCCTGTTCTTGATGGCATTAAAGTACTCACGGAAATGAAAAAAACCTGTTTTTTCGATCTCAGATTTTAAATAAATGCAGTTAATATACAAAATATATAAATATTCAAAGAACTCAATTAGTACTAATTGGGCCTTGGCACAAATACAGCGTATCAAAGTTTTTTATGTTTTTTAACAAGTAAAAGTGTGTAAAAATATGAACAAAACAGACTATTGTGAAACTGAGCATAACCAGGTGTTAGTAGATCAAAGTGAATGTCCAAGACCTATGACACCTTGATGACAGGAAAAAACAGGTGCTTGAAACCCACGTGCATGTGATTTGTCAGTGGTTAGTGATTTGTGAGTGGCATTGTGGCATAGTGAATAATCGTCAAAATATCAGAACGTAAAAGTATCATATTCCCTTCTAAAACAACAACTTACATGTCATTATTATTATGTACATAAACATAGCTGTTATTTTCATTGTTGTTTTGATAACTTTTTTCCAGGCTAATTTGCATAATGCCTATAGCCTGTTTCTGCCATGTCAATTTGGACTTTGTTTTATTTTTGAATGTTGAAAGTGCCTACAAATTACCTCCTGTAAAGTACATTTTGTATTGAGCACTGAGATAAAACCAGCAAATCCAGACTAGTACTTTTCCAGTTGTTTTGTTATTTCGTATTTACATCTACGTAATGCTTTGTGTCGATTATTAAATCCAGCAAAACAGTTTTTTTTCATTTCCATGAGTACTTTAATGTCTTCTCTATGTGTTAAATCCTGTTGTTGTAGTTGCTGGTGTACATAGTCCACATCCAGTCATGTAATATGTTGTTGTTCTTTCATTTGTGAAATATCATTTTTTAGTTCAACAATATTGTCAGTTACTTTCTTTATGTCTCCTTGCACGTGTTTTAGTTCATCTTTCAATTGAGTGATGTCCTGTTTTATGTCTATTTTCATGTTTCTAAGTTCCTCAATGATGTCAGTCTTAGTTTTATCAAGGTGTTGTTGACTGATTGGTGTCAAAGTCTTTTAATCAGCAAGAGATGGGTTTGTCGTAGGGTGATTCATTGTCTTCAGTGTATGACATAATCTTCAACAATTTTAGCTACCAGGCCAGCACAAGTTACATGTATACATGATGAAATCAATTAAGCAATTGCAACATGTCATTCTACCATGAATTCAGAAATTATTCGATTCTGATCAATCAGAGGCCATAAAATCACAATAAATCCCCTCTGATTGAAACAGCTGGTTTGACTGCCGCATCACCGTGGAAGCTAATATTCATAGCACAGTACTTTTTTTCAGTCATTGTCGGTAGGCATATTTAAAATAATTATATGTATAATTACAGGTGACAAAATGCAAAGTTGCGGTTACTACAATATTCATAGGATATGTGGCAATACATTTGCGTGCAGAAAACATGATAGAAATCTACAAAGAAAATGAATTTTAAGTTTGGGGGACAACAGAGAGCTTGGAATTTGGCGCCTTTCCATATATGACTGCAACGTCATTCCTTTTGCGTCACAATACGCGATATGACGTCATAATGGTGACGTGCAGTATAGAATGAAAGCTTGCTAAGCTTGCTTAGTTTACTTTTGGGGTGCCCACCTCATGTTAGCTGACCAAGTTGTCTTGCTTATATGCTTTCAATGCCTGTCATATGTTCGAGTGAAGTATTACGGTGTAAACAAACTGCTTGAGCTTTAACATTTGAAACCTTACGCTGCTCGCATGATTCCAAATTCAATTTAACGTGGTTAAATCTACTGGTAACCTAGCTCTATATTGAAAACACAGTTTGTTTATCTCCTAATTATTATAACTATTATGAAGCTAATCTCTTTCAGGTGATGATTCTGGTGAAGAGACTGTTAGCAAAGGTTCTGAAGTACCAGCAAAAGGAGGGGGATATGATGATTCTTGGGGAGATGATACAGACCTCAGTCTTGCAGATGACAAAAAGGCCAAGGTATTACAATAATGTCACTTTGTCTTTCGTCAAGGGTAACAAAAATGAAGTCTGTCATAAGTTGTCTGTCTGCCTTACTTCAGTGTCTTGCATTAATTTTCATGAGTCATGATTAACCAAAGCCACCCTAGCCAAAACAAAATGCTACTTTTTATTAGCTGTCATCTACATCTGTCCAAAGTGTGGTCATCACCAAGATCATCAAAGCTCTGAATACCAGTATCGCGAGAACAGACAAGGTTGTTACAGGCAATGACCTCAGTGAGTCATTATCATTGTAATATTTTAGTGATATCCAAAACTAAAACAAGAAATATTTGTATATAACATCTATATTGTCTGCATTTCAGCTCACCTAGTTAAATGTCAAGTGAGTTTGTCATGGCCTATATGTCCATCAACTGTTTGAGTCAGCAGCATTTTCTCCTGTTATGACACTATCTGCATATGAAAAGTGTTCATTGCATTTTTGGCCTTATATCTTTAATCTATTTTCATGACATTTATTCAAAATTGCTTTCAATATTGTATACATCAATTTCAGGGAAATTTCAGCAGAAGACATGTTAAAAAATTACTTGTACATGATCCTGTGCACAACGACCTTATACAACCTGATCATGTGTCCATCTCTGCCAACTCATTCTCTTTCTAATCGCCTTATTGTGAAGACGTGTTTCTGCAGAGAGAGTACATTTTGTTTTTCTTGTTTGGGCACACATTTCCCTTTGACTTTGCATAATTTTGTAACGTCTTACAGTATTGGGATTTCAGTGATTGCGATTATCCACGTTACGACTCCCTTTCAGATCTTCCGCGTAGTTGGGATTGTTACCCATACTCATACCCATATACTTACCCGGATTTTATGGTTACGGTTGTTCCCAGGCTCACGACCCTCCTGCCAACTGATCCATCTACTCCTGAACCAGGTGTGTTACGCCCTCCTCCTACACAGGTCCTCCCTACGTCTTGGTATCAACAGGATTAAGAGCAGGAAAAGCTGATTATTGATTCGTTTCGTGTGGTTTAAAAGACTCTTCAACAGCAACTTTCATCAATTCCTGCTGTGTTCTTTTCAAATCCTCCTCCAGTCTCATCAACGCCTGCCCTTACTGGGTCTACTTTCCGGCACCTTTGGTAATAGAGCATGCCCTGGTTCCTGAGGGTTTGTTCTGTTTTGTAGTTAGCCTAGAGCCCGCCTACCCAACGTCTGTCCTCCACTGGATTGCTGACCAACTACAGTTAAGTCGTACCACTTCTGCGGCTGATTGGCTAGAGTGATTCGCAGTTCCTTCCTTGAGCTCCAACAACACCCTCCCTCTGCGTCTGGAGTTGTTAGACATATCTACATGTACTAACTTAGATAGGCCTGCGCCTCATTTTGCCACTTACATGACCACATCCTGACTCCACGTTTCGTCCTAGAATATATCCACACCCATGCATGGTATGTTGGCTATGGTGGCTTCCCCCGACGGGGATATTTCTACCTTATGTTCCAAAAGATCATGTACCTCTTCAGTGGTTGAGGATTGAGACCTTATGATATATGTATCCATTCTCTGTCAACTAAAGTTTGTTTCAAGGCGTCAATAGCGGTAATCTGACCATGGTTGCTGTTAATAACGGTGAGTTGTGCGATCTTCCAATCGCTTCACACGATTTCGCCGTAATTAATTAAAAAAATATTAAAAAGAATTTTGAATAAAATTAATGAAATAAGTTACAATAATAAGTCCAGATATACAAAGAACACTTTTTATAGCCAGACAGTGTAATTACATGATTAATTTGCGTACTACAGTATGGATTTGTTGACATGGTATTTCCGGTGTTACTTGCTAACAGGGTAATATATTTCCATGGGGTAAAAAACATCAAAACTCATTATTTGGTGTATTTGGTCTACAGAGCTGTGTTTTTTTGGAAAAAAATTGCCCACTATACCCAAGAAAATATGGTAGTTTGGCCATCCTTGATCAACTATCATACCATTTGGGCTTTGTCATGGCCTTCCATCGCTGTGGTGTCTTGCAATACTGCCTTTGGAATGATCAGTTTAAGGTTAATCTTTGTCAACTCTCTTGCAGCTGGCGCTCTTGAAACCTTTTTGTGGATCTGATTCAAGAAGTTGCTCAAGAAGTTCAAAAGGACCCGAATATGCAGATTTATGTCGATTTCCTACGTCTGCAGAAAAGGCAACTATAGGATTGTGTAAAGAATGATCATCTCTATTCTTAGTTTGGGCCCGCTCTTCAGAATCACAGGGATTTGATAGTTCCCGTTCTACTCTTTTGGGATGCGGGAGAGGATGTCGTGAACAAGGATCGATTCCTCTTCAGGCTGAACAGCGTCCTTCAACTGACCCAAGGACTTCAGTGAGTTTTCCCTTGGAGGGAGATTCGACAGCTGAGTGACCCTTCCATTTAAGGCCGACTTGGAACTTCCTGCCTCCAGTGGTTCCCATCAAAGGATTTTCAGCTCCTAAATCGACAATTGCATTCAGGCAAACGCAGATGCCACCGTCCTTCTTCAACAGCTCGATTTCAGGTGACTTTTTTTGCACAAACTTGGATGGCTTGTCATTGTCGGCAAGTCCGAATTAATTCTCACCCTGCGATCAAGTTCATTGGGCCCTCTTTGACACTTGACAGGGTAAGATGTTAGTCCTGCAGGATCGTTGGATGAAGATTCCACATCTTGTTCCTTCGGCACTCAGACACCTGCCAGGGACAGGTGGGATTGAATCCAACTTCACCTGCTCCCAGCCCTCCACCAATCAGGCACACTACGTCAGTGGCAAGCGATCTTGGGCCTCCTGACATAAACGCAGGACTTGACCTCCAGGGGTCGACTCTAACTGCTCCCACATGTTTCCAGCCCCATACAACAGACGTCAAGACCTCTCAATATCCATCATCCTCCCGGACCGTCTCATGTCTCTCCTCCGGTGGTGGACGGTGGAATTGAATGTCTTAGACGGCGTCTCTTTGACAACCTCTTCGTACTTATTCTTCTACACCTCTCCTCTAGGTTGGGGAGCGCACCTGGAAGGACAGATCGCCTCGGAGCTGTGTCTGCTGTACAAAAACTATGGCACATCAACAAGCGCTCAAACTGGCTCTCTCACACAGGAAGCAGACCCATCAGAACGTGCGTCTCGCCATCTCGACTGACAACATCACCGTCGTTTGGTGTCTCCGAAACCAGGGACCAACTCACTCCCACTCACTGCTTTAGCAAACATTCTGGTTCTTCAACCAGGTCGATCAACTGGGAATCTGATTCAACCTGCTGCAACATTCTGGTAGATGCCCTCTCCCGACTGGACAGGGTCGCCCACACAGAGTGAACCCCGGACGCCTTCGCTCTTGTTTATCGGCACCTCGGTCACCAAAACTTCAACCTATTTGCCACCAGCCAAAACTACCAGATCCGAACCTTTGTATCACTGGTACCGGATCTGCAGGTTGGGGCAGTTGATGCCTTCAGCATCACCTGTACTCCTTCCCAAGGTCATCGACCATCCACCAGGCTGCTCTATGATGGCAAGTGGCTCTCCTCCAAAAGTCCCTGCACAGAAAAACATCATGAGCCCACCACTACGTCTCCTGAATTCCTGGCCGAGTTCCTGCTGTTCCTGCGTCACAAACGGCATTTAAGGGGCAGCAACATCACTACATATCTTGTGGCCCTTAATGCCATCTTGGTGATTCCGGAAGATCGTAAGCCCTCCAAGTTCCTTCTGATTGGAAGACCAGAAGGCTAAATTCCGACCCCCAACCTGGGCGTGTTTCACGTACTAGACATGACACGGACCAGGTTCTAGCACAGAGCTATTCACTGTAGGTACTTTTCACACATTTCTTTTGTGATAACGTCATTTCACATTTAGTCAAATTGCCACAAAGTATGGCATTTTATATTTGAGGTTCTTTTCAAGACATAAAAAGCAGTAATCTGATCGTGATTGCTGTAAGCATGCCTATCAGTTCACGCATGATATCTCCGAAATAAATGTAAACAATATTGAATGGGATTAAAAAAAGTTACAAACATAAGATAAACAATAAACACGTTTTTTATAACCAGATAAAGTAATAATAAGATAAACTTGCTTACTTCAGTTGGGATTTGTTGACAGGTATTTCCGGTGGTACGTGTTTACGGTGATCAGCTGGTAATGTAATGAAAAAAACATTGGATTAGTGTAAAACTTGAGTTTATTGAAAACGTACGTAGATTTTGTGAGTCATGCATTACCGCATGCTATAACCGAGTTGAAGGGAACTATAGCGAGTGAACACTGTACAACCATTGTACTATTATGAACTATAGGTTTTTCCAATTCATTATTCTGGTTGTTTCTTGTGTGTTGTCCATAAAAAATAATAAAAATCAACAGTGTTGAACTTTGATATATCACAGGTTAGGTTTTATGTATTTATCAATTTGACGGGAGTTTACCATGTTATATCAACCAGTTAGTCATCGTGAAATATTCACTGACAATAGCCAAGTATCAACAACTATGACATATTTACAATCAACTTGTGGCATTTATGTCATATGTATTCATTCTCTGACAACTAATCCTAACTTTCAAGGCGTCAATATCAGTAGTCTTATCAGTATGTCTTGGTGACACATGATCTCAGTGATAATGAAATTCACTCTGTATTAAATATCAAATAGTACTTATGAGACACATATAAATGCTACAGTAACCACACGGTATACACTATTCACTGTTTAATAATTAAATTTTCGTTATGTTCATTGAAATTCCTCCATTCTGATTACCATATTTTCTTGAGTATAGTGCGCACCTGTGTATAATGCGCACCCCCCTCTAGTGGATTCAATATTTTTGAAAAAAATAAATTTGAATACCAAGCGCAGAAAGTGTTTTACACCGTACCCCTTTAGCGAAGTCCGGCAAACAAATGGGTGATGAGAAACTTGGTCGGTACAAATTCGAAATTTGAGATAAAAAA